TCCCCCAAATTCCCCCCCCCCCAAAAAAAAAGAAAAAAAAAAGAAACGTATGATCCTGGAATGACAAATAAGACCCTAGTAACACAATTACCTCTGAAGAGAAAAATTTTGTGATGAGACAGGTAACAACAGGGGTGGGAGGGAGACACTTTTCCACCTGAGTTGACCTGTGGTTGATTTTTGAATAATGTTCATATATTACTTTATGGTTTTAAGGAACATACTTTTTTGAAGGCAAAAACCAATACAAATATATACATATTTAATAGAACGTTAAAAAAATAAATAAATGTAAATTATCCTTTAACAGAAAGGTTGACTTCGTAGGGGAAATAAAGTAAAGACAAGAATACGTGAAGTATTGCCCAAAAGTCCTAAACATTTAATTGTGCTACTTATAAAAGTAAAACATATTTTTATATTAAATATAACAAAAAAATTATAGAATATTTCTTTTTTTAGGTCATCCATAAATAATCACTATTTAACAATTTGCTGTCTTTCTGTCTAGTTTCATGATTGTTAACATTTTTAGAAGTATGCTTTATCAAGAAAAATTGTTTCTAATTTAACATGAATACAGTTTTATAGAAAGTTCTGTCTAGTTCTATCAGATGATCAGTTTTTCTTAAATATGGAGTATCTCATATTAATAGATTTCCTGTAGTTGAATCTATGCATTCCTACAATAAACCTTACCTAATCATGATTTTGTGGTTTTGTTTTGAATAATTCTAGTTTCTGATATTTTAGTTACACTTTTTTGCATCTACTCTTATAAGACTGGTCTAAACTTTTGTGTTACTATTCATGTTAAATTTTGGTGTAAAGTGAGTCGGGTAAATGTCCTTTATAATTAGAGTTAAGGAAACTATGGGTTAGGATTGGGTTTTTCTAATTCTTTGCTATTATAAACAACACTGAAATGAATATCAGAAATCTTGACCGTATTCCTGGTTTTCCTTAGGATGAAAATCAAAATGTGATTACATGGTCAAAATGACACCTTAGGAAAGCCCTTGTAATTTATGTTTATAAGAATAAATTCTACATTCCTATATGTTTATGTACAAAATTTTATGGACATAAAATTGCCATTTTAAACCCCACAAGCCCATGCTTTTAACGTTACAGTCTCCAGCCCCACTGGTTTCAATTTTTGCTTTATTGTACATAACATGCATTGAAAGCCGTTTCTCTTCTGATTATGACTGAGTATTCTTCCAATCCTCAGTCTCAAAAATGTTTGAGATGCAAAAGCTTCATGAAACTTTATACTATTCAGCTCATTGCAGCTTAAGAGGTTAAGTTCTACCCATCAATCATTTTGTGTCCCCACATACAACAGTTGGAAGGAGTGACATATACATTTAACTACAGCTTCAATCCCTTCAGAGACAAAGCTAGGAAGGCAGAGTAATTATTAAGGACCTGTTTCTGCCCTAGGTTTAGTCCCACTCTCACATTAGGAGTAGAAGGTTGAGGGGCAGAAACGCTATTAAGAGTCAACGAAACATAATTTTAACAGAAAATATTTGCCATATTTTTAAATTAAGAAATGTATGTTTCATGTTCCTCATCAATTGAACGTATGTGTATTTTTAAGTTTGTAAAACCTTAAGGTATTTTATTAGCAACTTACTTGCAATTTTAAGTAAATAAGCTTATGCTAAATCCATTTTTTATCACATTTTAAATTATTTAAATTATCATTTGGGTTTATCCATAATGGACCTTTTCCACCCCATTCCCCACCATTTACAGTCTACATAATTAAGAGTTGACTGAATTTAGTAGTTAAGGAATGACTGATAATCTGACATGATATAACTATCCTACAACTAAAAGCAAAGCAACCTGAATAAAATATATGGCACCAAACTATATGTGGAAGCTTAAATTTTTTGATAGACATCATTAACAAATCGACATTTCTTGCAATATAAAACACAAAATTAGAAAGCAAGTTTCTAAGCTTCAAGAACTTTTGATAGCGAAAAACAAGATAATGGACAACTCCCACTTTACTTTCATTAGCCAAGTAAAATAGCAGAAAAAAAATTTTTTAAGGATGAAAAAGCCCTAGGATATGAAAAATTCTCTAATAGACCATAAAAAGAATGGAAAATAAGGAAAAGAAATTCAACTAGTTAAAATACCCACATCTGTAAATTTTAATCAGTAGGCTGCTGCTACCTACCATGTCTCCTTAAAGGACAGGATTGCGTAGCTCTGCTCTCAGGCTCTGTTGTCAATAACCTCACTGCTATAGCAATTTGAGCCTTAGATGAAGCCAGGCAAAAACATGGCTCTGTGTCTTCCTGGATCACATAGCTCCATTGATGAGAGAGATAACATACCCACTGCCTCTATTCTTGACAGTCTCACAACCATTTTCCTCACTGCAGCCAGAAGCTGTACTTAAAATTCATTTGACTTATGAGTCTTCTTTACCTAAGATTCTTCAGTGATTCCATCCCCACCCAATCATACTCAGGTGCAGTGTGATCTCCCAGAATGCATGCTGTGGTTCTTTACTACCTGCCCAGACTCACTCCTGCCATGTCCCATCTCCAGTTTACACTCCCAGGACATTAACTAACTTAGAACCCTTCACTAGTCCTCTCCTACCGCCACACTCTCAACACCACAGTGCTACTATGGATGAATTCGGCTTCTCCTAACTAGATTCCTCCTTCACACCCACCAAGATTCAACCCAGGTACCTCTCTTCCCCCAGAAGGAAACTTCCCACAAGCCACCGAGTAGGCAAAGTTCCCCTCCTTTGGACACAGCTCCCTGAGCAAACATCTTTCATTAACACCCACTGCACCTTATGAAATTATCTTTTTTATTTTTTAAAGTTTATCTCCCTTACTAGAAGCAAGTAACTCAAGCGCAGAGACTGTATATTAACTCCAATGAGGAAGAGCCTATCACACATGTAGTGGATATTTGACAAATGTTTACTGAATTGAAATGCTCAGCACTACACAATGAAAAATTAACAAATACAGCTTGATGTATTCTTGGCCAATTCATTAGCAAGTCCTATGCCCATGCCAAGTCCATCCACTTCCCATGTTAGCACAGCCACCGTGCCAGTACAGCCTGCAGCCTCTCTCAGGGAGATGACTGGAACAACCTCCTGACTTCCCTGCTTCCAAGCCCACCATCCACTCTACTCACACACACGCCCCACTGTCCCCCCACCATTTGTCTCTGGCAGCCAGAGCGATCTTTGTGCAAAGTAAATGTAAAAAATCCTTTAAAAGTGGATTTAAATTTTAGAAATCCATTTTAAAAGATCCTTATTTGCTTTCTATTATATTTAGGCTAAAATTCAAATTCCCTAAAATGCCCATCTCTACTGGGCTCAAATTTTAAATCCTCCATTACAATAAACTATTTCCCACCTTGGCGTCTTTACACTGGCTCTTTCCTCTGCCTAGAAGACTCTAACCTCAGCCAGCTTGATGCTTCTCAAAGTTCAGCTTAAGCATCACAGTCTAATCCAAAGCGGCTTTTTTATGCCTCAGTCATTGTCTTCTTTGCACTCATTACCATCTCAAATGTGTACATCTGTCCCTCAGGAGGGCAGGGACCTCATGCCTGCTCAGCACTGTCTCCATGTTCCTAGAAACACTGCCTTGCACACAGCAGACATTTTAAGCATTTGTAAAACAAAAGAATAAACCAAGAAAAGTGACTCTTATTTAAGATACACATGAAACAAGTAAGGTAAAAGAAAGCAATAATTAATCCACCAAACAAGGCAGGAAACATTCTATTAGAATTTGCAAGTAGATAGGCTAGTGTTACTGGGTCTATTATCAACAAGTATCCAGAGTGTGCTTTCCAAAGGTCATAGGAAACATGTCAAGTAGAATAGTTTCATGTGCTATATGCTAGCCCATATGTGACACTGCAAACAATCCTTTTAGAAAATGCTATATGCTCACACTCCCCAAAACCCTGTAATGCACACAAAAAGTAATAAAATACTTAAAAACCACCTGCTATGTTATTAAAAAAAACTAAATAACTATTTCTGACAGTGATACTTATTTATAAATTATTAAATTATACCAATAAAATTCCAACCTCTTAAGTAACAGGTTCTTCTAATACAGACAGGTAGGTCTTCAAGACAGGTTTGACTGCCTATAACATCTAAGAAGCTGCCTCACATACTGTTCTTTCTTGGAAGTAATGCTGCAACTCAAACAAAAAAATATATAGAATTCATAACAAAGTTAGCAGCTTCTTTTAACGCCTTACTGACTGAAGTTTTGACCAAGGGGAAAGAAAACCGTCAGTCACTGCTGCACTAGTGATAGAAAAAGCATTGAATCTTTACTTAACTGTCATTCAATCACAGAAATTAGGATAACATACAAGGAAGCACTTCGCAAACAAAGTTAAATGAAGACAATGAAGATTAACTAAATACAATCTAAGTATTTTATTTTCCTTGATTAAACTTCTCACCATTCAAGACAATTACTTGTAAAATAAACACATCTAACTAGCAAAACAAAATTAATACGACAGGCTAAAAATAGCTGGCATACTTTAATAATCACTATTTACAGGTGACTTGAAAGTAACAAAATTTCAGTAACTTTCCTTTGGATTCCTTTAAGCACTTTTCAGCAGCATGACCATCAATTTTTCTGATCTAACACTTACCTTGGTATGGTGACACATTTAGTATTACAATTTTGAGTGGTGATGGCTTTCTCAAGCTCATCTAATCGTCCTGTTTTCTTTAGTTTCTTCACCAAGCTTTTAACCGCCTTCTCACACCATTTTTCTTCCTGTCCATTCTGCTCTCCTCCACCTGCGCCCCCCGATCCGCCTGCAGATTTCTTCCATCCCAGCAGCCTCTTCACAACTGGTGGAGTGAATGGCAAGATGGACGACATGTTCTTACCAAGGCAGTAATCCACACTAAGAAAATATCCTCCTTTATCTAACCTAGGAAAGATAGGGAAAAGGTAATTTAGAGGCTAACTTTAGAATCAAGTAATAATTTCAACATGATATCAAAAGCAGATTACAAAATAAGATAGGAATTCACATTATTACTTTCACAACAGACTTTCAGAAGTTCAATTCTTCACTCATGAAAATACCTTTATTAATTTAAACAAATTGTGGAAACAAACCCTTTTACAAAAAAGACAATGTTGTAAGTGGGCAATAATAATTTTGCAAGTAAAATGTTTATCAACACTGGACCAGTTTATCACTAACAATACTACTTTAACTTTAACGGTGTCAATAATTAAAATATTTTCACCAAAAGAAAAACTTTTCTAACATTTTAGAACTTCAACCTATTCTCAAAACACTTAACAAAAATATATTTTCTTAATTCACAAGCCCACTCTCCCCAAAGTTTTAAACTTTCATAACTGGCTTAGGATCATGAAGTAAAACCTAAAGTTAAAAGAAGGGAAAAGGAATCAAGCGTGAAGTAAACAACAAGAATAAAGAAATGAAGGTAATTTGGTTCACTTTTACTATCCCTGGAGACTTTCAATTAAGCCTTTTTTTAAAAATACATCTTCATTTTTATCTAAGTAATAATGTGCATAGTGAGTATAGTCAAATATAAATATAGCTGCTCTTCTCATTTTGAGGTACAATTCTTTAAAATCTTTTTAACTTTTATTTACTCTTGCTATTTATAACTCAGTATAGTAGTCCCCCCTTATCCATGGTTTTGCTTTCTGTGGTTTCAGTTATCCATGGTCGACCATGGTCCAACATTATTAGATGGAGGATTCCAGAAATAATTTGTAAGTTTTAAATTGCACGCCGTTCTGAGTAGTGTAATGAGATCTCATGCTGTCCAGCTCCGTCCCACCCAGGATGTGAATCATCCCTCTGTCCAGCATAACCACACTAAATACACTCCCCACCCATTAGTCACTTAGCAGTTATCAGATAACACATTTACATAACTTTTGTTACAGTACTTTGTTATAGTTGTTCTATTTTATTCCTAGTTATTGTTGTTCATCTCTTACTGTGTCTAATTTATAAATAAAACTTTATCATAGGTATATATGCATAGGAGAAAATAAAAGATATATAGAGTTTGGTACTACCTATGTTCAGGCATTCACTGGAGGTCTTAGAATGTATTCCCCATGGATAAGGGAGAACCTACAGTAATAGGCTTATAATGGTATCCTTTAAAATATCAAGTTTAGGTATTATCTATTGATTTTTCTATGGAAAATGAGGATTTACACCATGACCACTCACATTCCTCTAACCTTAAAGATAATCATCTACCAATTGTAGTTTTGTACCTGAAGAGACTACGGTAGTAGCAAACTTACTATATAATGTTTTCCTTTTTGTACAAGTCTTTCTTATCCCCAGAGTTAATTATCTTAGTTTCTCATTTGCTTAGTTTTCTATGCACCCACCACAAATTCTTCCTGCATTTTCCACAAGCTCAATTAAATTTTAATGTTGATGTATTCAATCTCAAACTAAGAGACAAGTGGAACTAACTTCCAAAAAGTGTTGAGCCTTCACAGAAGAGAGGCCACAGTGGTCTCTTTCCTGGTGGAGTGGCTAAGGAGGAATAATTCCACCACAGATGACGGTAAGGAGAACCCAGGTTAAACTTTAATAAATCTTTTTTTTTCTTTCTTTTTTTAGCTGAGCCTTCCTGCCACCTGTTGGCAGCTCAGCTTGGGCCGGGCATCGAACCGCTGCTGCTCTGAGCTCACACTCTTAAGCAAGCTCTTTTATCAAATGAGCCACTCGGTCGGTCCCTGAAACTTTAATAAATCTTAACAGCAACATGTAGGCTGACAAGATGTATTAGAATTCCAAAGAGTTCATAGAGCCAACCTGTACTACCCATCCACTCATTCACAAGGGTCTTCACCAAGTGCTTGCTAAGTATGTTGGGGGGCGGAGCTGGAAAGCTGAGAGACACCCTAAGAAGCTTATGGTCTGCCTCAAATGCAATGAATCTGTCCTCTGATGGGGGCGGGGGAGAAGTGAGAGATATCACTCCATTCAGCAGCTGCCAAAGGCTGAGGTGAGGACAGACTGCTGAGAGAAAAACTTCTATCCAAATACTCTGGACATTAAACTACCAAGGCTGGGAGTAGGGAAGGTTTGCTAAGAGAAAACTCTGGAAAGTGTTACTAGTAGAGAAATAGCACACTAGGCACAAAAGAACACCAGAATGACCAAGAAACCGACAGCTGGGCAGAGAAATTGCCCCCAGTTCAGAAAGCTGATGGCTCAGATATAAAGCACAAAGAGGTAACTGAAATTACAACCAGACAACAAATCGTAGAGCAAGTCCTAAACCTACTCGCAAAACACTTGAACTAAACCAAACTAAAGTTGCAACAAAGCTTATAACTAGCTTGACTATTCATCTTATTGCCTTAGCCCCACTATCAGACTAACAAGAAATGATGGCCCATTTTCTGGTTGTAAATATTTACTTCTATCTGTACTGTTTTTATACAAATGTTCAGGGTTCAAGCAAAAATTACAAGACACAGGGATTAGCAAATCATAGTCAGAAAATGAAATTATTAATATAGTCAGATCAGAGAGGGCCCAGATGTTGGAATTACCAAACATAGACTGAAAAATCTATGATAAAAACACTAAAGGATCTGATGGAAGAGATTGGCGGCTGGCATAATGAAATGGAGAATTTCATCATAGACATTGAAGCTACAAGAAAGGATCACAGTGGAATGTTAAAATTAAAAATACAGCATCAGAAAGTATAGACTTCTATAGATGGGTTTAATACAAACAGGAAAGAGCAGTGAATTTGAAGAAAGGCCAAATTAAAGTAACTGAATTGAAATACAAAGAGAAAGCAATGTGGGAAAACAAACAAACTCCAAAACATCCAAGACCAAATGTCAATTGGATTGAACTGGAGTTTAACTGGAGTCCCAGGAGATGAAAGAGAATGGAGCAGAAAAAAATCTAAGAGATAATGGCCGCCAACAGCTTTCTAAAAATGATGGCCAATATCAACCCTCACATGCAAAGTAAACATAATCATAGTCAACCTACTGAATATTAAAGGTAAAAGTAAAGATAAAAGTTTCAACTAGGATGAGTTAAGTAAGACTCCCTAGAAGACACAGACAGAAGGGAATCTGCACTCATTTCAAGTGCTTTTCCAAGGTTCTCAGCTAACTTCTCTTTAAAAGGACTGGCATGAGGCAAGAGATGGAAGCTAGCTTCTCCCCTTTAGTGGCATCTCATATAAAACAAAAGCCTTCAGCCAGTAGGGGAAATGCAGGAAAGCCTCCTATACCCAGGGCCCATGGAAAGATGCCCTGCCTCAAGGGGAAGAGTAGAGCAACAGCTATGTACTGCTGGGGAAAGGGAAGAAGGCAGAAGCTACACCACCTCCCACACAAAAACAAGCCTTTCTCCAAGTAACAATAACTAGTCTACACTGATGCTGAGGAATGAGAAGAAGGAAAAGCTATCTGACATTTAAACAGGCTCAAGAAACTGGCTTGGACTCAAGATCCTAATACAGAGCAAAAGTCTACTACTGCTAGATGAAAAACTCCTTAACAAAATATTAGCAAATCACATCTAGTAACATATAGAAAAAGTAATACATCATCGCCAAGTTGGGTTTATCCCAAAGGACAAAAATGGTTTAACATTAAAAATGTCAAGCATCTCATTTGCAGTATAAAGGAGAAAACACCTATGACTCTACTAACTTAACGTCAAAAAGCATTTGACAATGTTTATGTAATATCCTTGATTAAAAATGTTCAGCAAACTAGAAATAGAAAAGAGGAGGAAGTTCTTCAACTTCAAAAAGGACATATATGAAGAACCTAGGGCTAGTAACATAATGGTGAAATATTAAGTCCCGTTCCCTCATGATTTGAGAATCAAACAAGGATGTCCACTGTCATCATTTCTATTCAATTCTGTACGGGATGATAAAGCCAGCACACTAAGGCAAGAAAGAGACATAAAAGGCATAAAAGTTGGAAAGAAAGTAGTATATTCTCGATGATCTGATTGTCTCCATGGAAAACTGCATGGAATCTCCAAAATATCAGTAAAACTATTAAGTGAATTTAGAGCAAGGTTTCAAGATATAAGGTCCACATACAAAAATTAAGTTTATTTCTACATACAAGCAAAGAATTAGAAAACGAAATTTAAAGAAATACCAGTTAAAATTGCGACAAAAAATCTACAGATCTAAATATATTCAAGACGTCTACACTAAGAATTGCAAAGTATTATTAAAACAAATGAAAGACTCGGGCCGACCGAGTGGCGCGATGGTTAAGAACTGGCTTGGGATGCCAGAGGGCCCCGGTTCGGATCCCACATATGAGGNACAGCTAAGATGCTGAACAACAGCTCAACCTGGAGCTGGGCTGCCATGAGTCGCCGGCGACGGCATAGGCTGCAGCCTCTTTGGCAGTGGGTTGCCATGGGCTACCGTGTGCAGCCAGCAACCACAGTGAGCGGCCGTCCAGAAGCCGGCGACTGATCTGCCTCGTCCAGGAAGAGTGCAATGATGGTGCCAGCTTGGGCCAGTGAAGCGACACCTTCCACAACTAGACTGAAGAACAAAACGACAGCAACTTGTCTGTTCCCCTTCCCCCAATTTCTCAGCGCTGTTCCCATCCCCCAATTCCCCAATAAAAATCTTTAAAAAAACCAAAAAACAAAAAACAAATGAAAGACTGAAATGAAGAGAGATCATACTCATAGACTGGAAGGCTCAATACTGTTCAATGTCCATTCTTCCCAGTTTGATATATAAATTCAACGTGACCCCTATCAAAATTCCAGCAGGATTTTTGTAAAAAATAAATAGATATGTTGATGTTAAAATTTCTATGGAAACAAACAAAAAATAAATCTAAAACAAATCAATCTTGGGGAAAAAAAAAGAGGATATTGGAGGGCTTACACCACCT